GTTCAGAATAGCTATAATTGTACCAGATGGTTGCGTTCAGTTAAGTTGGACTAGAGTGTAATACAAACCGTTCAGTTTGTCAACAATAAAACTGAAATGAGAGAAAGACTGAGTGTGAGACTTTGTTATTAGATAAAATGAATATTGATAAAGTTTACCTTTATGTACAGAATCTGAATATCGCAAAATATTTTAAAAAATTGCAATAATATCGTATCGTGCGTTAAGTATTGTGATAATATCGTATCGTGCGTTAAGTATTGTGATAATATCGTATCGTGCGTTAAGTATTGTGATAATATCGTATCGTGGGATGTATGGTGATTCCCACCTCTAATAAATATGTGTGTATTTGTTCTTTTTGTATGCATTCATATAGTTATGGTAACAGACCCAGCTTTGTGCACTTGCATTTTGAGATATATAGATATAATTAAAGATGAATTTGACTGATTGGCATTATATCTTATTTAATATTTTCTATATATATTAAGATATTATTGTTAAGACTATAATATCATTGTGATCGACTATTATGCAAATCATTATATCACCGTTAATAACTATTTGCCCTAAAAAGCCAAGTATTCCTGTTCTTTTGTAACAAACATCTAAATTAAAGCTGCGGTTTTTGTACTTTTTCTCAATAATAAACATTACAAAAAGAATTCAGGTTGAATTTTAGTGAAATGAAGCTCCGCAGAGTCTCGGTTGGTTTAGAGTCCAATTATTTTCAGCTTAGTTTTGCTCCATATTTTCCCTGTTACATGCAGTGACTCTGACACCCAACAGTGGACCCTGCCCCACAGCTTGGTCCCCACCACATTAAAGGAACACTTCACCTTCAATTCACAGCCACGTGTCAGTCAGCACGCTTGTAAATTATGTTATAATAATAAAGAACCGCATAACGTTTTTTTCCCTGCTCTGATAAATCTACAAAATAAGAAGTTCCCGTAAATAGACAACTGCAATTAATCCTACTAACTGTATCCTTTTCCTCCCCATGCATGTTGTACAGTGTATCCCTGTATGTTACTGCAGGATGGCCTTCAGTGTCCACAGCACTGCGAGCAACAAAAATGTGGGAGAGAATGATGTAAATATTGCATTTGTGGTGATGAACATTGCATTTAGCTACCAAACCCACACTGTGAAACAACCAGGCTGCAGATTCTACTCGCATTTTCACATGAACTGCTGTTTGCAGAGTAAAAACGATCATTTGGGACACGTGTACACTTCTGCCTGTGGCTTAGAGTGTGCGCAGGGCCACGATTGGGCCTGTTGCACAGAATATTGTTACATTACATGACCCTCCTTCACTCACACCTTCAAGCTGACCTTGAGAAGCAGAAATGTGAACTACTTCACTTTAAGTCCTCTTATGTTGAGGGAGAAGACAGCTAAAGAAGAGAAATGAGACATATGTGTGTGTGTGTGTGTGTGTTAAGATAGTGATGTGTCTTTTTCAGCTTGGTATGTTTGGCTCCTGCCCCTGACCCCTCGCCCCGCCCTCTGTACCTGTGGCAGCGCGATGGAAAGCTGCCTCTGGAGGGACTCCTTCTCGTGGCCGAGCTCTCGTAGGCGTAGATGCGCCGTCCCCAGACTGTCCTGCGTCTCCCTCAGGCTCTCCAGCAGCCTCTCCCTCTCCGTCAACATGTTCACCATCAGCGACTCCAGGTTTCCTGTGCTTCCTCCTTCATCGCCTCCACCACCGCCGCCGCCACCGCCACCACGCGGGTCCCGGCTGCCGTAGCCCCCCATGCTTCCCATTCCGCCACCCATCCCTCCTCCTCCGCCCCCTGCCGGGGAAGACGAGCCACCTCCACCTCCACCGCGCCCGTCCTCCGAGATGGTGGGCATCACCTCGCACATCATCTTGAGGCCTGGGTGTGAGAGGTGTTATCTGAGAAGATGACGAGGACACTTAGGCAGAGTGTCTGGTGAGCGGCCGGTCAGCCCTCGTCATGAAATGCACAACAGTTAGTTTGTTTATCTTTTTCTGGGGGGTGCGGGGGGGAGGGGGGGTCTTTCCTCTCAAGCTGACTGGATGATGCTCACAGGCGAGAAACAAGTGCTGGGGGAGGATGGACGTGGCAGCTCTGTGAATTTGTGAGTGAGGCTATAAGGTGGCAGTCCCAGTTGTTGGAACAGAAGACAGTGTAGGGTGACAGCAGCTAAAGGGGGCCGGTGTATAAGGGGAGGAAAGGGGTGAGATGGGGTGTAGGGGTAAGAGGGAGAAGTGCAGGTTCGGTGGGCGACCTCTGACCCCCTGGCCCAGGCTTCACTGAGGTGCCAGGTGAACCTAGAAGAGGAGAAGGAAGAAGAGGATTACGAAGAAGAAAGTGAGAGGTCATTTTCAGGCACATATGATGGATGTGGTGCTGAGAGGAGCTGGAGGAGAATAAAATGATGAAGGCATCCAACACGAGCCAGGTTGTGATCCGTCCTCAACACTCATATGGATCCATTTCACACACACACACACTAACACACACACACACACACACACACACGATAACGGGACACTTTTTTTTTTGAAACCACAAAAAGCAGCAGTGCTGTCTCTTAACACTGACAGCAGCATCGCGATACTCTTGGAGTAATTCATCCATCTGGGTATATGTCTCGGCTTTATGTATCCGCGCGTCCACAGCCATAATGGTAATAACGAATGCGCATGATGTACGGAAATGAGTCCACAAAACGCCGTCACGCAAATACGGAGCAAGCATCAGGAGAAAGACGCGGCGCTGTTTCTTACATTTATTTGGAGGGGGGGCAAAAGGGTGTCATCATGAATTGTAATTACTGGCTGTATCCAGGAGGAAATACGACTCCCGAACCCGAAGGCTTATTAACAACAGAGTGCTCAGACAGGGAATTAATTACTGTAAACGATCCAAATATGTGGAAACCAGCGTATATTCCTGCGCTTAAAGGCTGCACAGGATAGCCTCACACCGCTATCACGTCATGGTGGGAGGTGCCAATCATCCAGTAAATGATGGAGGCCTAATTAACGAGATTGAAGCCGGAGATATTACACATCAGTGGATTATTTCCCTTTTTTGCCACTGAGACGAACCTAAATGTCGCCAAAGCGTCGCGCCGCGCTTGGCTTTATTCCGACTGCAAGGCGTCTATTTCCTATCAACACCCCACTGCCCCCCACCCCGCACACACACGCCACCCTGCTCCCCCCCACCCACCCATAAAAACAGCTGGACCGTCTAACGCACGGCTACATCTGCGTGCCGCACATCACCGTGCCACCCCGATCAATCCGTGTGCCTTACCCTTTCCATGAGCGTCAGAGAAAGGAAATAAACGCGCATCGTGGCCCGGTTCACTCCATCGGAGCAGCTGAGAGACGGAGGCTGCAGGTTATCCCCGTTACAGCCCGGTTACCAGCTTGCCCCATCCCCTCCCTCTCTCTGCTGTGGAAGAGACAGCACGGCTCAGCCGCTGCGTCAAAGCGCAGGTAGCGAACACGGGGGGTATCCGGTCAAGACTTTCAGAATAAAAGTGTGAAACTGGCAGTCCGGGGATGTGGTTCTTCTTTAAAATATTTATTTATGACATTGGAAGAATGTGAGGGTGGTGCAGGACATACAATGCATGAGAACAGCGAGACTGGTGCAAGCTAAACTGTGAGTGAGGAGTAACATAGTTTCAATGCAGGGGTGGGATACTGGTTGACAGATGAGGTCAGGCAGAAGCCTGCCTGGACTACTGTGTTTGCAGATTGCATTATGATTTGTAGTAAGAGTAGGGAGCAGATAGATGAGAGCCTGGAGAGGTGGAGGTACACTCTGAAGAGAAGAGGAATCAGTCAGTAGAAGCAAGACAGAGTACAGGTCTGTGCATGGATGGGAGACAGGTGTCACAGTGAAGCTGCAGGGAGTAGAGGCTCTGAAGGTGGATGGTGGAAACCTGGGATCAACTAGGTAGGCACGGTGGAGCGGATGGAGACGAGTGTCAGGGGTGATATGTGGCAGAAGGATAGCAGCAAGAGTGGAAAGGTGTACAAGATGTTAGTGAGAGCCGCTCTGATGTATGGTTTGGGGACGGTGGCACTGAGAAAAAGACGGGAAGTGCAGCTGAAGATGTTCAGATGTTCAGAATGGACAGAAATAGAAATAACAGTGAGGAACAGCTGAGGTTGAGCGGTTTGGAGACAAAGTTAGAGAGGCCAGGCTGAGAGGGTTTGGACTTGTGCAGAGGAGGACATGTGGATATACTGGACAAAGGATGTTAAAAATGGAGCTACCAGGCAGGAGGAAAAGAGGAAGACCACAGAGAAGTTTCATGGATGTAGTGACTGAGGACATGCAGAGGGTTAGTGTGACACAGGAGGATGCTCGAGACAGGGTGAGGTGAAGGCAAATGATCTGCTGTGTTGACTCTTTAAGTAAGCAGCCTAAAAAAGAAAGAATTTAAATGATGAAAGAATTTAAATGATGAAAGAATTTAAATTATGAAAGAATTTAGCAGAAATGGTGCTTAGAAGCACATTTTCCAGGAGAAAAAGAAAGAATTTTCAAATCTTATTTCTTATTTCCATTTTAAAATCAGATTCAGTATAAATGCAGTTTTGAGGTCAGAGTTCAAGAGTTCAAAGATTTATGCATTAAACACGAGGAGACTAATTGTTTCCCACAAGCCAAAAGATGAGTATATAAATGTACAAGTACCGTACCGTTTCATCCATGGTGCCCACTTTCCACATTTCACTACAGTGATTTTTTATTTAAAGTAATTTTTCAAGTGTTTTTAATTATTTTTTTTACTTTTTCAAATTATTCATTTTAATATATATCATTTTATACAATGTAATGCATTGCTACAATATCTGCTGTACAGCACTGTCAAAGTAGTTGACAGCAGTTGTCCTTTCATTAGGATTTAAGCACTTCTACTTTTGCAAAATGCAAAGCGTACAGTGCATCTTGCTGTTTTTTTCTTCGTGGCAATTCAAACTTCTTCGTTGCAGGTAAAATCTCACAGTATAGCCAGTATAACTTTCCCTGGATGTGTAAGGACTTCTTTTATGAGGATGTAAACCAAAACATAAAGGTCAAAGGACAAATCAGGAGATTGTAAACTAGGATAGAAAACAAATGTAATCTATATCTGCTGTATTTCTAGTTTGTTTATTTATTTTTTTTTTTTTAAATATGTTTTTGGATTTACCCAATCTTTTCTCTTTTAACTGAGATATATATTTGAGTGGAACTTCGTGCAAGTAAACAGATTAAAGATTAAACAGATTTTTCAGGACAGAATGAGTATCCTGATTCAGAAAAAAACATCAGAAAGGGACTGTGAACATATTTATCTTTTTTTGCCCCTCGGAAATAATAAATATGTTATTATAAAGTTGCTCTGTGGGGAAAAAATGAGCCGTGACTGAACAAAATGAACGCTTCAAAGAGGTTTATATTAAAGACAAACTCGAGCTTTTCCGCCTCCCTTCCTGCTGTTTCTGTGAAGCTTGACGACCTCCAATCGTTTCTCTCCTCGTGAAGACGCTGTCTCTTAAAGAAACACGCTCTTACCGGCTTTCACGTTTTTAAACCTCCCATCCTGACATTTCTTTCCAGCTGCCTCTCCTCGCATTTTCTCCGTGCTTATCCGCAGAACAAAGGCAGACCAATCTGAGCTGTTATGTGGGTGAATACTTTCCAATTTATCCTCTTTGTGTAATAGATAAAACTTGCAGGCACAGTGGTACAATTGCACCCTCTAGTGTCTGAAATGGGGAACTTCAGTACACTAGTAGCATAAGGTTTCAGGCTAAATGTCTGGAATTTAGGCAAACATCATCATATCTGTTTAACTGGAGGTTTTTAAAAGGTCGCAGTCAGCAATGAACAACTTCAAAATGAACAAAGTTGAACTTTTGCGAAGTCAGACATTAGAAAGGAATCTGGGGCTTATTGTGGGGGAACTTTTTTTTTTCTTCAGTCTAATTAAATAGAAAAAAAATGTATACATTTCTTCTTTTATGTGATTGGTCGGAAAATGTGAAGATGTATCTATGAAAATATCTCAGTTACTTCACCAATAGGAGCTCTGGGGAGGCGGGTTTTAAGCCCCTGGGTATTGGGGTGGGGGGGTTGCCGGGGTGACGTAATGTTCTCTCCAGAGAGCCAC